AAGAAAGTGTCGGTCTGTAGCTGGTTATATCGGGGTTATATCGGGAGAATGGAAACGAACATGGAAACTGCTATAATGGGTTTAGGGAATGGCCGGGCATTTCACAACCTGCAGCAATGTTCTTTTGAACATGTGGACGCGCCGCAGTCGCCGCACTAGCTCAAGGGCACATGCCCTCAACGCCTAGCGCAAGAAGACCGCTCCTGCCCCCTAGGGCCCCAGGGTAAACATTGATTTTCTCACGCTGCCAGCTAAGCAAAGATGGCTCGCAAAGCGCACCTGTGTAAGCAATGACATGCCAAAAGTTCCTGCTGCAGGGCCTCCATTGAAGTGGTTCAGGGCCGCTTGCTTGAGGTGTGACAGCCGTATTTCAGGTCTTGCAGGTATCCACTCCAAGCAACACGGACCAGCGCAGCGTCTGCATCATAGCTTGCGGGCTAGCTCGCAGGATATCCTGTGTACTTGCATCCGCAAACACTCTTACGTGATAACAGGCACTCAGGAAAGGGACACCCCCTAAACAGCAGATCTATGCTGAGTTGCCAAGTCAAGATCCGCAGCATCCCACAGCAAATGGCCTTTCTGCTGTGCGCCAGCATTCACTTCCAGGGGGAGCGCGAGGATTTACATCAAGACCAGTGGCAGCTGAAGCGAACAAGCAAGCCTCGTGCCCCGAATCCCAGATCTGCATTGATGCGCGAGCTCTCAAAGCCTCGCGGGTCGGATTCCCAGTTGCCGACTGCGGCCTATTCCAGCCCAACTCTAAGAAGCCAGGACTTCTGGACCACACGGTGCAGACCAGGCAAAGCTTGCCCGCCGCCCTATTCGCACAACTTCCGAATTCGAGAAAGGAACCAGCTTCATCAAAGCCGGTATCCTAGCGTCGTATACAGTATGTGCACTCGTGGCCCAAGATCCTTTCCAACTGAAAAAGACAATTGCAAATATGACAAGCGGTCAAATGCGAGATGTAAAGCGTCAGTTCAGGAATCCTTGTCAAATGGTCGGGCCCTAGATCCTTTTGCTAGCTTGCGAGCAAATGCTCGGGAATGCTGCAGGAAATGGGCATCGTGTTCTGTCTTGGGTTGGTATTGTTTAAGGGACAATACTTAATCCTCATGCAGCTACCCCTTCCTGCCACTCTGACTATGAGACTTCCTGATGTCAACCAGTAGGCTGAGCCGAAGCTTGCTCGCTGTACGCCTGCTTGGAAGCAACAACCAAGCTCGGGGTAGGCGGTAGGGCAGCTGCCTATGGCCCCTTGTCCCTGATCCCTTTCGCGTAAGCGTAGGCGCTGCGAGCGCTGGACATCTCAAAAATGTTAAAACTCCTATAACTTCCGAACAGTCACTCTGCGCTGTCTCCACCAAAAGCAGAAGATGCCACTGCAAGTCAAGCACCAAGAAGGCAGTTGCGGCTGGGGCCGATGCTAGCACGGCACTTATGGTCCGCGCATGCTTGACACTTCGGCGTGTGGAGCCCCACCGACAACAGGGGGAAGCGAGGCGGGTGTGATTCCTGGGCTTTGGCGAAGCTGTGAGCCGCGAACTGCGAAGCACTGGATCAGTGCCTGTCATAATCTGTGAACCAAATCGTCGCTCTCACCGAGCAGAATGGAAGGAATGCTCAAACGGGAAGCCGCCAACACTTTCTATCTAAGTCCAGCTCTTCCACCAACAGCACATGTCTTGCAATCCCAGGCAACAAGCATGAGCATTGTAGAGCAAATGACCACATGCTTTGCCTGATCAGCACTCTGACCCCCTTGCACTGTTTCCAATTACCGCAGGGTCTTGTGGTATTTGGGGTTGACGAGCTGACGTGCATTCCAGTAGATGCACAGCAATGTATGTGACTGCCCTCACCAAGGCATGTAAAATCCTCCCTACCAGTGTTGATGATAGTGCACTATGGGTGGTTGGTACATCTTCTGGCCAAGAGGCATGGAGGTCTTTGAATCAATGGTGACGCTGCAGCGTCGAGCGTCGACTCTTCAGGCCACATGATATGTGGGGAGTAGTTGGCATGGATGCAGGATGCACAAGGCCTTGGCCTGATGTCAAACTGGAAGGGTTATAGCCGAATACCGAAAGACTCTAATCCTTCGTGGCATAAAGCCCTACACGTTGGTCAGGTAGCATTCGCTCGAGGTCACTACTCGATGCGTTGGCTCATCAACCTGCCATCCACGACTGCCCGTGCACAGCAATTCCCACATAGCAATCGAAGTCATCACATATTTTACTTAATTTGGAACCAGGAATACCGGGATACACCTAGGGCAATGAGAAGCTGAAACTCTTATGCACAAACCCGAGATTCCAACACCGAACCAAGCTCTGGCCTGCGGAGAAGGAGACGCGCAGACAGAATCAGATTAGGTGCCTGCAGTCAATCCCACTGTGCATTTTTTCGGGCTTGAGGGTATGAAGCGCACCAACGCCCCAGCAAGATAACAGTGCACAACATACACATGGGGTTACAGAGGTGGGAGCAAGCGCCAGGTGGGAAAAACCTGATGCAGAACGACTCAGTACCATGATCAAGTTTCAAGCCTGCTGGTTGAATTCTAGCAGTTCACAATAAGACAACTTCTACCTCCATCCCCAGGGTGCCAAATGCTGTTCCAACATATTTCTGTGTCTACACCTGGTGCTTCTGCACGCTGGGCGCGCCTTGCTCCAGAACCAGCTTGAACTTTAGCCCAAAAGACGGCGGCACCATCTGCTCCGTGGCCGGGGATGCCCAGGCTCTTACACTGGAAGGCGTGAAATTCAAACAGACTAAAGCACAATCTTCTCAAGGACTCATGCTCTTCGGTTTGGAGGGAATGGAATTCGTGAAATATGGGAGTTGGGAAAATACAGATTGTGCTGCAGCTTGAACTCTCGCCTGCAAGCACTGCTTAGCTTAGCTGGTCCACTGCTCTGCGTGGCTGGGAAGATCCAAAATGGTAGCAGACTCATGGATCATCATCCTGGTGAACGGCAAGAGATGCCTGGACCGCTGCGCTAGAATGTGCTGCCAGACCTACACTCAAGCTTCCGGTCTACTTCCAGGGAATGCCGGTTTGTTTGGAAATCTGTGCTTGAGACTACTGCTCAGGCAGTTCCTAGCAAAAGGTGCGCATAGTTGCTCTAATGTACGGCGAAGACTGCTGGGGCTGTCGAAGCTGGTGCAGAAAGATTCCATCATGTTGCAGTATAAGTAAAAGGAAAAATGAAAGTCACGTCCCAGTCCTCCGTCTCTCTTGATACATGCCACCAACACGCCTGCCTTCAAGTGCCCCTGCATCCAACTCCGATCTTTCATGATGCTTCAGAGCTTGAAAGGCCGGTCCCAAAGGCGTTATGACACCCGAAAGTTTCCCATGACATCCTTCCATTTTCCCGTAGGTTCACTGACAATTCGCTGCATGGCTTCCAAGTTGCTGAAAGCTGTGGGCTGTTGGCCGAGCACGGCAAAAGCAGGCGGCTTCAAAAAAGAGGATTGCGGACTCTCCATCCCGGACATGCATTCAAACACTTCGAAGCGCTGAAAATTCTGCAGGGCGAACCCGCTAGGTTCGTCCAAAACTAGTCCGTTACGCATGCTATGTTAAACGCATGTTATCCTACAGACAGAAACGGAAACATGCACGCACACTCTCTTTTTGGCTCGGTTGGCAAGACAGAAAACTGGTCCCTAAGCAAGCCCTACGGACAGGCAGAGGCAGACCTACGGGCAGTGCTGCAGGGACAGAATTCTGATGCCTGAAAGTCCAAGTATAATTGAGCCAGAGCTCGACCCAGCAGGGAAGAAGGCCATCAGAATTTGAGCTCGGATCCGACGGAGGCTGCAACGTAGTTCTCCATGAGAGACGGCAAAGGAAAGAACGTGAGGTCAGGGACCTCAGGGAAGGAAGTCCAAGGAACTGAAAGGACCTCAGAGGGTTGGAAACCCAAAGTGGCGGGCGGAGCTGAACGGCTGAGAGCGTCTGCCACGTCATTAAGGAAACCAGGGACAGAGTCCAGATGCACGGAAATGCGGACAGTCTCCTGCAACAGGCAAAATTGACGAAGAAACTGACACATGCCCCTCGCGAGGGTCAGACCTTTCCAGGCCGCGGATTGCGACGGGGAGTTATCCGTGCGGAAAACTACGTGAAAGGGCGTGTGGCCGGGGGCAGCAAGCGGGATAAAGTCCAGAGGAGGGCCACCTGAGCCAGCATCTCCCAGGCGGCTATGCAGTGCTGAGGAGATGCGTCAGACGGAAAAAGGTCAGACAGCTGTGCTGCGGACAGAGTCTGCGCGAAGCACGCCTGCCTACCGTCAGGGAGGCGGACAAATCCACCAAGCCCAGCCGAAGCGGAGTCTGCACATGCGTCCGCAGAGGCTTCGCAGACAAAGAGCGGACGGTGAAGCAAGGACCTGAAAGGTTGTGGAGAACTGGCAATAGCTAGCCACATGCGCAGGACCTCCCGGGACTCGGGCGAGAGTTCCCTCTCCGGACGGAAGGGGTTAGCAACCTGAACCCAGATTCGACGGGAGGAGATGAGATGTGCTCCGGGACATCCTTAAGGGCAGTGATGGGGGTGTGCGCAACGCGAAGCAGCTTGCAGCCCACGGGAATGGCCGCAAGCGGAAGGGGCGCGCTAATGCGAAGGTCTTCGGACAGTCGAGGCCCGGAGGGACGCGTAGATGTCGGCTGAAATCGCACACATATTCGGCAACGGACAGTGTCGGTCCGCATAGGCTGATTTCCTCCGCCCGCTGCGTGCTCTCTGGCTCAAGCGTCTGGAGACACCCGGCCTGCTGTCGGGCATTCTTTCCGACTTGGTGTCACCTAGCAAGGAACCCCCACTGTCCGAACAGGCTCTTGCCTTGTTTGAGTCGGACCTGCGAAATTTTCTGCGTGTTCAGTCCCACGATATTTAGAAAAGACTCCTTCACATTGATGCAGGCCCGCCCTTCCGCCTGAACTTGTGGCACTGCCTGTCCGTACTCTGCCATGACCCAGATATGGACTTTTTCCAGCTTCTTCACGACGGCGTCCCACTAGGCATTGGCTCGCCTATACCGTCATGCAAAGTTCTGTTTCCGCCCGACTCCACGCAAAAACAGGTCGTCCCTCTGCAGCATTGCGGCTCCGCCTGGACGTCTGCCCTAGACCACGCTGACCTAGTCGATGAGCTGCTGGAAACCGAGCTCCGTGAAGGTTGGATCCGTCCGGTTCCAGGTGGTGACGCGGAACTCACCCGTCGCTATCGCAAACGGCCGTCGGAAAGCTGGGCGTCGTTGTGTCTCCGGACCGTCCGCCACGTTTAGTGGTCGATAGTTCCATCAGTGGGGTCACCTCTAACACCCGTCTGCCCAATAAGGCACCCAATCCGTCTCTTGCAGACGTTCGCAAATGCCTTCCTCTTTGCCCGGCCAATGAGTCCCTTGCTGCGCTGGTCCTGGACGTGTCAAAAGCACACCGTCGCATCCGCATTAAGCCGTCCGACCAGGGCCTGCTATGCTTTAGGCGTCGAGATACCCTGTATCAATCTGTCACACTCAACTTTGGTGCCCGTGCCTCCGGTTTCTACTGGAACCGCGTTGCTGGTTTGCTCGTGCGCCTTACACGCCGCCTGTGGCGTGTCCGCCATTCCGCCAAGATATATGTAGACGACCTTTTGGCCATTCTTTTGCGATCGTCCGCCCCTCTGCTATCTGCGCTCCTGGTCGTCCTTCTGTGCGTACTGCGCGTTCCAATGAGCTGGCGCAAAGCCGCTCTGTCCGCCAAAGTCACATGGATCGGCTGGTCCTTTGATTTTGACACATTCACGGCAATTCACGGTCGAGCTCGACCCGTCCAAGTTGCGTCGACTGCTTGACCTCCTCAAGCTGCTGTCTGATTCGCCCCGCTGTACCGTCTCTTCACTAGTGAAGCTGATCGGCAAACTCCTTTGGCTCAGCAACTTGTTTCAACCCTACCGGGCCTCCCCTGCAGCGCTCTAGGAGCGCAGGATAGCAGGCGGTCTGGCGCGTGGCAAAGGAGCCATCAGTATTGCGTTTGCCGGCAAATGAGGGATGGAAACGTGGAGCGTGCGGACAGCGGCATTCTAGAGGTGACAGGACATCAAAGTTGCACCAAAAGGCCCAAGCCTTAGAACAAGGCCAGGCCGAATTGGCAGGCAGCTACGTGCGTGCAGTACGTGGCATGTACAGACAGCCAGGCCCGGACGGATGGGTCCAGCCAGAGAAGGGTGGAGGCTGGATTTCGAGAATGACCAGACCCCAGGCCAAGAAATGCCTAGCTCGGCTACGCAGAAGCGATGACTCGACAGCTCAGCCGGAGTTGGTGACGGAATATCCGTGGAATGCTCAGACAGGGCAAGGCCCACCAGGCTTCGGGAGTACGGAGCTCAGGGTGCCCACAGCACCGACGGTGCCGGATGACGCAAGCAGGCAGCTCCCTGAACTGGGAGTCATCCAAGAGGTTGAAGCGACAGCCGTGAAGCTTGTCTAACGGCTCGAGATGGGCCAGACCAAGTGCAGACATGGCAGCGGAAAGCGGAGCAGAGGCCCCAGCAAAGAGGTCCATTGTGGGCCGGGAGCGGACGGAATTCCGGACCCAATGTTGCCTGTAGCGATGGACGGGCTGCACAGCCGACGCTGGCCGCAGGACCCTAGGACATGGCGTGTGCTGAGATTTAGGTACGGGACAAGCAGTACCTGGGCGAGGAGGACCAGAACCAGTTGACCTGAGAGCCACAAGGATGCTAGCGCCTAGCTAGAGTGAGCCCATCAGCCTGGCTGGAGAAGGGGCCTTGGCTGCAGCATCCGAACTGGCGGACAGATGAGCAGCATGCGCAGGCCAGCCCTCTGGAGGAGGGACGTCTGAAGCAGACCTGCCAGGAGCAAGCGGACGGACCGATGCTCTAGTGCAAAACACTGCCCCACCTGGTAGGAGAAGTAGTGGCATCCATAGCTCGGACAGGTGGAACAATGCAGTCAGACATGCACAGACAGAACATGTGTGTACCGCCCTAGTGCAAAACGGACAGCTAGACATGAAAGTAGCTCAAGCATGCAACTGAAATCCAAAATCGACTATGCTCCACCTGTGAGCAAGGATGCTGCGGACGGAGGCAGCATCCTTGCCGTTGCGTTTACGGACAAACACTTAGGATCAAGCTCCGTATCCGGAGTTGCTGCAAAGGAGTGCTACCCCATCTCAATCCCTTTACCCTGTACCTGCCATTGGAAGTATCTTCAAGTGGCTTGGGCGCGGCCATCCTCCTGCAGCCAGTGTCCTCACTACTCGTATCTAATTACTTGCGCGGCCCTCTGAAATTGGGTCCCTTTTGAGCGCTTTCTTCTATCCGATCCAATTGTCGTGACAATGTGGATAGAAAGAACCTCTGAAAGGGACCCAGACTTCAGCGAACTGGCAGAGAGGGCTTCTCTGGCTCTGACGCTGGTCCCGGCTTCGAGCACTGCAAAGACTGGACTTGGGCCAGTTTTTTACTGTTACTGTGGGGTGTGACGCACACAAGTCCTCTCCGGCTTCTGGGGGCGCTGATCCGATCGGAGCTCGGGTGTTGTGTACTCTAACAAGAGAACGCATGCCCGCATCCACGCCCATAACAACCGAGCCTCACACAGAAAAAGGATCCCAAGAACGCCGCAGTGTATAGGAGCTCCAACCAACAATCGCGGAAGGGGGATGAAGTTGACCTGGCGCCGAGGATGTGGGAGCGAGCTCTGTGAATTGCTGCATTGCCCATTCAAACCTGAGGGCCGGACGGATGTGTGCTTGTGCAGAGCGTGGTGTCCCCCAGCTTGGACGGTCTGTCGATGAAGGCCTCCAATAAGATCTTGCAAACGCCATATTTGGAAATCCCTTAGGCTTGGGGTCCAGGTTTCTGGGGACTTCGCAGTGTTCGGGGCATATTCGTTGCTCTCAACAAAAGAAACTGGAGCTGCTTAAACCTGGCAAGGGCACCCGACCGTCAGAGATGAGCAGGGAGATGTGCGGCCACTTTCCACGGACATTGTCACTGTCCTGGTGCCCTCGTCCTGCATGCTCGGAAAAAATCCTGCCGCCCAATTCGAGAGCTTGTGGATTCAGTTGCGAAAAGGACGCAACGGGCAAGGGTTTTTTTGTTGCTTGTCAAGGTGACAAGGGTGGATCGAGACTCGGCTTCCCGCGATATCTCGAGCTCCCAGCTCTGGCGCTGCTATGGCTTCTCACGCACTGGCCCAGTACACTGACGCCAGCTTCAGGGTCTCGCACTGAGGCTGCCAAGTTGAGCGTCGATGCTATCGCAGCCCTTGGCAGAGTGGCATCTGCCCGGCCACACACGTATCTTGCCGGATACCTCCTCCAACAAACTTTCCAAACTTAAAGGACAGACGTGGACTTAGCAACTGCTGCTTGGTGGCATTCAGAAATCTTGCACTCTGTGGTCAATGCTGAAAACAAATACTAATGCCAGCCTGGATATTGCTGAAGCCAAAACTTCAATGTAGAGAAGCAGTGAGCGGATTCGAAAGCATGTCAGCTCAAAGCCTGCGTAAGGCTCCCAATCCAAGCCACCAAAGAGCAATCAACACCAGCCACCTCATCTGCCTGCTTTTTTGGCTACAAATGGGGGGATCCCTAAATTCGGGGTACCATTTTGGGGAGTCACAATGACAAGGATTATAATATTTTGGGGTCCAGATTGGGGTCCCCCTATTTAGGGAAACTACCGGATGTCCTCGAAGGAGACCTGCACGACGGTGGACCATAATGTCACAGCAATTGAATGATGACACTATTTACTCATCATCCCGATGCGGCTTCCAAAATGTTCAATGCTCTCATCTGCTCTCCAGCGTCCTTTCCTAATCATTCACAGGCCCCCGCATCACTCCCCCCCTCCCGTCCTCCCAAATCACAAACTTTAAATTTTTTGGCGATAGAGACGACGTGTTCGCAATTGAATTTCTTGCTCAGTGAAACAAAGCATGATGTTGGCAGTTACTGCCCAAGAGTCGCATCTCCCTAAAGATGTCGCGGGAGATCTTTGACTGGGTTTTTGCCTGAGAATATTTGCAGATGTGATGTGAGCTGAGAGACCGCGCCCCCGAGTGAAAAGAGAGTCCCACCCACCCCGAATTGTCGGAGTTGCAATCTCTCCGCAAGACTTTGAATCGCCATCCCCAAGCAAACCCCCAATCCGCCTTGGAGAGCACTTGCAGGGAACTTCTCAGTGGAATCTAGAAAGGGCGAGAACTCATGCGGCTGCACGCTGCCTGCTGTGATTACTTCCGTAATGCAAGGCGGCGAAGTGGCCTCTGCCGCCAGTGCTGCAAATCTCCCAAACAGCCTTCGTCTTGTCAGATAGTAGCTGCAGCTTTCCAGCACTGTCCGAGAATGTGAAAGATTTGCAGCTAAACTCTTAGCAGTAGCAGCGTTGTAGACTTGGTAAGATCCAACTGTGGAACAAGTCAATCCTGTTTAGCCTATTTCATCATGTTGGCATGCCTACGACAAACAGATGATTTGGCTTGGCTCTGGAGAGAAGTAAGTCCATAGCAAGTCAGCTTGATGTTCCACGGCGTGCTATTAGGTACTGAAGGCCTGCTATATAGGTTGCATAGGCACATTCTGCTGGCCATTGCAAGAAGACTTCAGGAAATCCAGACGTTGAAGCCAGTGGGAGAAGTATTTCCATGCAGAAACGCGTCGAGGCACCTTGATGCTTGAAGTTCTGTTTCATTTGCGACGCAAATGAAAGTTGCTTCCAGAGCTTCAACACTCTGGTCACCAAAACTGTTGCCAGCAAGATCAAGAACGCGCAAACGCCGGTGGCTCTGGGTCTACCAGGAGCTTGGACATGGTTTCACTACAGCTTCGAAACTCACGTCCATGCGTTAACTCCGGAATCACCGATGAAGTTGACGCGGAGGGTCAGCAGCATGAGAGAGACTCTAACAGTCCGTCTGCAGGCGCCTGCACATCTGGAAGCATCAAAAACTTCCTGTCTGCAAATTCATTCATTAACTTGCCCTGTGTTATGAGAAGCGCGCTGTCTGCTGCACACGAGCACCTTCGCGTGATGTCACACAATAAAGCTGGATTGTTCTGACACCGGGTAATAACGCTCAAGCGGCAGCTCTGAATGTACTGCATGGAGTTTGAAGCCCAGAGAAGGCTAGCAATTGCCCTGGACAGCATGTTTGGATGCTTGTGCAAAAAAGTCAGAGACAAACTCGGATAGCTGATCGCCTTCACAATTCTTGGTCATTATGATGAGCATCTGCATATTCGGATTCTACGTTGTGGTCCAAGACTTGAAGACTTATCAACCTTAAAATACGTGGCTGTTACTACAGACCCTGAGAGGCAGTCGGCATATATCTCATTTCATTGACAGTTGCAGAACTACTCTGTCTGAAGTTGACTTATTGCTGGCGCTAAGGTCGGCTGTAGACCTGCGTGTCTAGCGTTTGCA